AACAGAGCCAGACTCTGTCTAAAAAAAAAAAAAAAAAGAATTATAAGCAGGTAGGGGAGCAAAAGCAAGCCAGTTTGAGTATAAGTCTTATAAAAGCTGTTTCTTTACATAATTGGGAGTTTACTGCTATTTAAACATTGAATCTACTTAAGTGAAAAGTCATAATAGATTTTAGGAGTAACTGGTCACTTCCTATGGGTTTTTTTAGCATTTCATTTTTCTCCTATGTTGTCTCATAGATTACCAAGAGAAATATCAAGAATTACTTGAAAGAGAGGACTTTTTTCCAGATTATGAAGAAAATGGAACAGATTTATCAGGGGCTGGTGATCCGTAAGTTTTCCTTGGTTACTAACTTTCTGTGTCTCATTTGTAAATAGAGATCAGACTAGAAAAAGTAGCTCATGAAAGAATGGCATTTCGATTTGATGGTGTTATGGTATATAGTATGCTTATATACTAAAAATTTTCTGAAAATCATGTTAAACTAAGACTGGTTCTGAAAATCTATAGTCGAAGAAAATAACTATATTAAAACATAACTTAAACATGCTTAAGTTATTTTTTAAGTTTATTTTTAAAAAATATTATACCTAGACTTTAAAATAAGAAGCTCTAATGCTTTAAGATCCTAGGCAACTTCTGTGCTTGTTTCTATAAAATAGGAATAGTCATACCCCTCAGGCCTTTTTTTTTGAGATCTGAATGAGAATATATAAAAAATACTTGATAGCCTTCTGGCACATAGTAAAAGGTTCAAATCTTAGCTGTTAAAAGATAAATTAAAGAGTAAAGAAAACAGATTACTATGTAAAAATATTTGGCCTGATAGATATAAGTTATAATCCTGTTCATGTATCTGTTTCTTCAACTGTAAGTAAAGACACTCTTAATGTATTACTCACCATCAGATTGTACTTCCCTTTTCTGATAGAAGGAACAGTAACTTGAGAGGTTTAGTCCCAGATCTATTAACAACTTGTATGTATTTGGACAAACTCCTTAGGTTCTTTTCTTCCTAATTGGGTGGGAGGTAGGGAGGAGAATAAATTACACCTGTGACTTCCTTTTTTAACATCCATCTTGTGTGTTATAGGTTTTAAAAAATGAACCGTCTTTATTCTAGTGACATTTTAATTATGGATCAGTTTAAGATCTAGAAATACAATGTTTCCATACTTATATATACTAATTTAATAGAAAGTACAGGGATATAAGGACTCAGGCAGAAGTAGGAAGGTTCAATCTTGCTTGGGTATCGCCATGGAAGTTAAAGTTGTTCTTGGCATTGAACTTCAGGTTATCCTCTTAAGATTTTGTTCAGTAAGCAGCATATTCTCTTGCTGTAATGAGCTCATGGTTGTTTCAACACATCACCTTGTGCTAGAAATGGAGAAGAAACAGAAAAAGACACATCAGTAATTGGTAGGATTGGTAAGATAGTTTTGTCACACTTGTCAGTAGAAGGAATCATTCCGGGTGAGGCATCATGTAGATAGCATCATGTTGTAGAGGGAAAAGTATAAAAAAGGGAAAAGATCTGGAGTTGAACAAATTCTGGCCTTGCCACACACTTATCCAAATTCTGTATTATTTAACCTCCTAGAATCTTCTTCCATCTCTAAAATGAAGATAATTCCTATATTTTAAGATGACTATAATAGGAATTCAGTAAGAATATATATTAAATCCTTAACACTTTAAATTTTTCCCCCATATATAACTATGGTAAGCCTTGCTTTATATCTTTTTAAACTATCCCGTAGTTGGAAAAAATCTGGAATAGATTATGTCCAAAAGTACTTCCGGGCCGGGCACGGTGCCTCACGCCTGTAATCCTAGCACTCTGGGAGGCCAAAGTGGGTGCATCGTTTGAGCTCAGGAGTTCGAGACCAGCCTGAGCAAGAGCGAGACCCCGTCTCTACTAAAAAAATAGAAAGAAATTAGCTGGACAACTAAAAATAGAAAAAAAATTAGCCAGGCATGGTGGCACACGCCTGTAGTCCTCTCTACCCAGGAGGCTAAGGCAAGAGGATCACTTGAGCCCGGGAGTTTAAGGTTGCTGTGAGCTAGGCTGACACCATGGCACTCTAGTTCCCACAACAGAGCGAGACTGGAAAAAAAAAAAAAAAAAAACAAACACTACTACTTATGAATGTCTTCTTCCAGATAAATGGGAGTGTGACTAAATTGTTCCTGTGGTAATAACCTAGCAGGAATAACACTTAAATAGACATAAAGCATTAATACGTCACTAAAGGCATATTTAAAGTTATGTTCTAGTTATAGTATAATTATTTGTTGATAAGGTAGATTTATTAATATCAATCTTGAGCCCCCAAGTTTGTATGTCGAACCTTTGATTTAACTTCTAGGTTACAGAATTTAACATACCTAAAGGTATAGCAGAATCTTTAGACACCACAGACTCAATATAAAATTTCAGTCATCAAATTAAGTATTTGGTGTCTGAAGACTGCCATTTATGTAATCTAAAGTTAGACTTGAGTTCTGTTGTAACTCAGTCTAGGAAAGTTATGTTACATTTTTTCCTGGCTTAGCATCTCAGACAACTTCTGAATTGAAAAACTCATTGGGGAGGAGGGGAGGAGCAAAAACCTCCCTAATGGGTACAGTGAACACTATTTGGTGATGGGCATACTTATAGCTGTGACTCAAGTATTACAGAAGCAATTCATGTAACCAAAAACGTTTGTACCCCCTTAATATTTTGAAATTAAAAACAATAAAAACATATGAATCATTTTTGTTTCTTTTACAGATACTTGGATGATATTGATGATGAGATGGACCCAGAGATAGAAGAAGCTTATGAAAAATTTTGTTTGGAATCAGAGCGTAAGCGAAAACAGTAAAGTTAAATTTCAGCATATCAGTTTTATAAAGCAGTTTAGGTACAGTGATTTAGCGGAACACAGGAAAGCAAGAAAATGTGTCACACTTATACCAAATTAAGGATGTTGAGTTATGTTACTAATGTATGCAACTTTAATTTTGTTTTAACACTATCTGCCAAAATAAACTTTATTCCCTATAACTTAATGTGTATATATATATAATAGTTTATTATGTACAGTTAATTCCACTGTTTTGGCTGCAATAAAATCGATTTTGAAATAAATGAAATGTTGAATTTTGCTAGCTGGTTAGATGCTTATCCTTTAAATTCTGCTTTTGAAGGGGAAAAGTCTTAGTCTGGAAATACATATTACTGCAAAAATGTAGCATCTCTTTAAAGTAAGAGTATTATAGCTTTCATTTTAGTTTGATATTTAATGTCTCAATAAATTAAATTTCAAGTATGAATCAGAATCATGAAAGTCTAGCACTAAAGTCTTTGAATATATCATTAACTGATTTACATATGCAGATGCTATTTGATACCAAGGGCTTTTAAAATGTCATAAAAAAAGACTTAGAGAACTCCCAGCTAAACAACCAAGACTCTTCACTGAGAATTTATTCCAATTCTAGAATTGTTTTTTTTACCTGACTAATTTCATTATCCTAAGGCATAGAACATTATCTGCTTTATTTATATAGCTTTCTCATTTTTATTTTGTAGCATGGGTTGCATTGACTTTTTTACTAGAAAATTTTACTAGATATTTGTCATTCAAGTTTTCATCTGCTTTATAATTGATACACCTTGAAGACCACTTTTCTAATACTTTTATTATGTGGTACCACCTCAGCCCTATTTAATATTTTTACCTAATGTCAAATCTTTTTCCAACTAACTAAAAAATAAAACTTATGTACAAAAGTATTGCTTGTAAATATGCATGTAAATAGTTCTGTTAATAACCCACTGTTTTACATTTGGTACATCTGTGTCTGCTAATACAGCTAGGTTTCTCACTTTTCAGCTTGTTTGTTCAGTCTGAATTAAAATTAGACTTTGAAAATAAAACTTAAATAGTTCTGTTTCCTCTAAGTTTGAAGTGGCATTCTGGTATTTTAAAGAATTCACTATTGAACTTGTTTATATGACATAAAGGTTTGAAATCAGAGAAACTGTATTAAGATAGAAGGTATTTTATTCAGTGTCCGAATAAGAATTCAATAACAGATCTACCCAGGAAAAACTAGCAAATATAAAACATTAAAACTCTAAGATTTCATATTATAAAGGGGAGTGTATAGTGTATATATGTAATTGGGGTTTTTGGAAGTTATAATAGTCAGAATTCTCTTTTTCAAAATGTCTCCTGTAACCTTGTGGGTGTTATCATAACCTGCAGTTCTCTAAAGATAGAGCTTACTATAAATGTTGGAGTGGAAGGAGGTGTAGGAAAGCCGGCAGTACAGTAGACTGGGGACCAAGGAATACTAACTACATATATTTTAAACTTCTAACAGTTGCTCTGTGAATAACCAACCATTTGTCCACTAGCTTATTGTCACCAACTGCTGCTCAGTGGCTACCAACAGGATTGATATTCCAGTTATTACTGCTGCTTAAACCACCCATACATAATGTTATAAAATAACCATTTTATTATGCTCATAGGTTCTGTGGTTCAGGGCACAATGGGGATGGCTTTTCTCTATTCCATAACGTCTGAGGCCTAGGCTAGGAAAACTAAGGACTTGGGGGTGTGATTTGAACAGCAGGGGGCTGTAATCATCTGGTGTTGTCTTCTCAAATGGCTGGTGACTAGACTGGGGTGACTTGAAGCCAAGACTAGATCCGAATTGTTGACCAGACCATCTACGCTTGTCTTCTCGTGGCATGGGCTGGGATATCTCACAGCATACCCACTGGATTCTTAGAAGGGGAATTGAAAAAGACCCAGAATGAAGCTGCTTATGAAGTCATGCAGCATTATTTGCACTACATTCTCTTGGTACTAAGCAAGTCAGTAAAGCCATATCAGATAGGAGGCCCTCAAGGAGTATGTGGACATGTTTTAAGACTGCACTGGTACATAATGAAAGGAAGAGTTGGCCCTGTGCCACAGTCATTGTCCTTTACGATTGCCACGTCTTCAGCAGGAGTGTGTCAATAAGTCTTTAGTACAGATTATTAGTACAGGTCTTCAATGAGCAAGGACACAGTTGCCAGTAAATGTCATAGTCTTGTGCTCTGGCAACAAAACATAAACATGGGTCATAACCTGGCAGTCATGTCATCAATTCAGACTGTTACGTTATTAGTGCCCTCCAGCCAAAGACACCAGAAACATACCTATACCTGAACATATTGGGTTTATTGTTGCAGTCAGAGAGAACATACACCTTGGAACTATGAGGTATATCAGTAAGACGGTGTTAGAAAACTATGATAGGATTTGGGTTTTGGTTGGTTAATTTGGGGAACAATCTAAGACACGAGGTTAACTCTAGACAGCATTGTCAGCGCAGGTAATTCTACAATTAGGTATTTCATTAAATCTTATCTATAGGGAAGACAGATGAGTATGGATTAAGTTGTACATGTTTAGAAAAAAGATCAATCACATTTAGTGAGAGGACGATGTTTAGTATGAAAGTAGAAAACTGTCCAGTACCGAAAAGTCAGCTTGAACTGAAAATATGGCAGCTCTACAATTAGGTTGAAGCCAGTTGCAAAGTTGACAGGAAATATTTCTTCCAAGGTACAAAGGGGGGATATCCAGTTGCTAAACCACCCTCATCTCATGACAGCACCGAATCCCTAGTTAATTCCCACTTCTAATCTTGCTGCAGAAACAGCATCCAACCCAGAAATGGGTCTTCTTTTCCCTTAGAGTTTGCTCAGAATCCAGTGGAAACCCAAACCTTACCAAAGATGGCACCCTTCACCCCCTTGTGGAATGTACCATCTTCAGTTCTTCTGGTTCCCTTGTTTGCAAATCAATAAATGATTTTGTCAGAAGACAGGCTTGAGCCTGGTGGTCTTTGGTTGACTAGATGTTAGCAGGCATAAATAAGCTCATCTATGCTGCTGCCCTATTGTGTCAGCCTGGCAGGACACCAAACCCGAATGAGCCCAACACTACTTCTGCATCCTTGCAGCTGGAAGTCATGTTTTTGCTATGTTTGTACCACTATAAATTCATGGTCACAACTTTCAGTTAGGCTGTCTGTGCTGCCAACAGTCTTACTGTGTTTCTGTCTTTATCTTTTATCTGTTTTTAAACCCTCTGCACTCCAACATTATCCCCCTGATTGCTTCATGGGTGGGGTGGGGGGAACCACAAGACAAATATACACAAATGCATCTGCGTTCACTTCATCCCTCTTCTTCCTGTACAGTAAGAATCCCTCCTGTTAGAGGCCAGTTGTTCAACATGTGCTGGAATCCTGTCTCTCTCATGAACTCCATTGTTACTTGGTCTGCAATTTTTATTTTTCTCCATTGGCTCTTTGCATGAGCTATTGAACATGCATTCCTCTCATCAAAAGAAATCTGGTGGCTGGGCATGGTGGCTCACAACTGTAATCCCAGCACTTTGGGAGGCTGAGGTGGGAGAATCACTCGAGGCCAGGAGGAGTTTGAGACCAGCCTGGGCAAAATAGCAAAACCCTGTCTTTACAAAATTTTTTTTAAAAAATTAGCCAGGTGCAGTGGCATATACCTGTAGTCCTAGCTGCTTGGAAGGCTGAGGCAGGAGGGTTGCTTGAGCCCAGGATTCAAGGCAGCAGGTGACCTATGATCACACCACTGCACTCCAACTTGGGTGACAAAGACCTTGTCTCAGAAAAAAAAAAAATATGGCCCTCATTTCTCTCCAACTACAGTCCTCTCTGTGTCTGCTTCATAGTCAGACTTCTCAGGTGTTGTCCCATTTTTTCCGTTTCCTTATCGCCTATTTGCTCTTCAAACCTACTAAGGCTTCTGCCCTCACTGTGGCCTTCACTAGAGTCACCAGTGACCTCTATGTCACTAAATCCAGTAAACACTTTTTTTAGTTTGTCCTCTGGCAATATGTGACATTATCAGTGACACCAAAATTGAAAACCTCTAGGCCTCCAAGACACGGTAATTTGCTATCTTTATGCTGTTCCTCCTCAATGCTGTTGTGGGCTTCTCTACCAATATGTAGTCTGTACATACTGATGTGCTTCCACATTCAACCCTACGCATTCTTATGTTACAATATTCTTGTACTATTTCATCTTCTGTAGCTTCAGTTAGCAGCTATCAGTCAGTGACCTCTAGATTTGTTTCTGTCTCCTAGTTCCAAATCTTTACTAACTTGCCATTTCCACCAGGTGGACTTAACAAAATTTAAACCATGTCATCCCTAAATTTGCTCTTCCTTGTACATCCCCCCCCTCATCGATAATGCTGCCACCCACCCTGTTGCCCCAGCCGGAACCCCTAGCACTGTTTTTGACTCCCATATCTCCCTCAATACCCAGGCTCAATCGTCACCAAGAATAGAGTCAATTTTCCTGAATATTTCTTGGAGCTGTGTTCTCTGTCTTTACTGCCCAGGTCCTGAGTCCTGAGCTGCCATTATCTCTCCTGTTGCATTTTCAAAGCCTTCTACTGAGCTCTCCACATGAGCTCTTACATCCTACAATCCATTCTCCACTCAGCAGTTCCGAGAATCTTTCTAAAGTACAAATAGTATCACAAAACCCCTCTGCAGTAGACAGAATTTCTATATAGGAGTTTCTCAAAGATTGGAGGGGGAAAGATAGGGGTAGAATAGGACCTAAGTTAGCACCATATAATACAAACTGATGTCACAGATCAATGAAGACATAGTTGTCTAAGGTTGCTTTTACTTCATGTAATATTGATCAATTTGCACATCAGCCATTTTATTTATTATTTTTTTTATTTTTTTGAGACAGGGTCTCACTCTATTGCCTGGGCTAGAGTCCAGTGGCATCATCATAGCTCACTGCAGCCTCCAACTCCTGGCTCAAGCAGTCCTCCTGCCTCAGCCTCCCAAGTGGCTGGGACTACAGGTGTGTGAGATGCCTGGTTAATTTTTTTAAAAATTTTCTGTAGAGACCAGGGTCTCGCTATTGCCCAGGCTGGTCTTGAGCTCCTGGCCTGAAGCGATCCTCCCACCTCTGCCTCCCAAAGTGCTGGGATTAAGCCTTTTTTTATACAGAGCTAAATTTAGGGAGTTAGATTTCTTTCCATCCATTGGTGCTGTTTTCTTCGCTTAAAGATCTTGTAGTAAACAATTAT